GCTCATGCAATAAATATACTACGTGGCATAACACCAGCGGAGAACGGTGTGCCCACTAACATCTACGTTCGGATGCTATCAAGCAAACGTTGGATGAGGTAATTCCCGATAACCTACTTTCGGTTACACTTTTTGCCCGACTTCAAGAGGGGATGAGACGCAGTATGAGGAATACCGCAAGATGTTGACAATACTTAAATAATCATTTCCTGAGGCTCTCAGAAGGTATGTTACTTAAGGATACGACTCAACAAAGCCGGATTCGGAGCTGGACGTGGAAGCACGAGACAGGAATTCATACCGTACAGTCAAATAAACCACCAACAGACCACCGTCTGTTTTGCAAATTCTACAACGATGTTCGGTTTTGTGTATCGCGATTTCCTCTGACGGTTAATAGGGTAATAGAGCATTCTGGCACAAAGCTTCGCTATAGTCAAGGCCCGCTGCCTTTTCCAGTCTGGTCTGGCGTTTAATAAGGTTGTACTGTCATTTTTTTCTGTCCAACTACAACAATGGCTCGATGCTCGTAAAGGAACTGAAGGATTTTGGCGGTGTCGAATACACGCCTAGGCGCCCGATTTACTCATCTCCACTACGCACAAAATATTGCCTTGCTACCTTCAAGCTATGGTGACTTACAAAATGTAGTTTTGCGGATGAATGAGATCGCTAAAACTGTCAGTTTAGTCACCATCTCCGATAAACCGAGGTTACTTCGAACTAAAGCCCTGGCCAAGGAGGATATAAATGTGAAGAAATACGACAGTTCAGAACATCGCGAGATGAAATTGCTGCCAAATAAACAGAGTATGGACAATAAAGATGCCGCTCACTGGGATTTTACAATCCTCAGATGTCTACGAAACGAAGTTACAAACCCCATCGTCACAAAGAGAAATTTGTATCGGGCATCCATTAGGTCAGCTCTGTATGACTATTAATGCAGGGCTGTGCGCTCGGCAAACTCAAGAGGTGTTGATCATCGTTGTCTAGGAAATTTTTTGAGTGGAGCACACCGACTTCGTCTTAAATGCGACAGCCCACACGAAGATATAGCAGGCCATTCGAGAAAGACAGCTCTGATGGTTCCGGCCAGTTCTTAATCCACCATCAACGAGTTCACTTTCTTTGGCCAAGCGTTGCTGCTGACCTGGAAGAGTCGACTATTTTCTTTCAAGACCTAACACAACAGTCAGTCAAAACGTAGAAGTGGTTTTTGGACTTTCAGTATTCGAGCTGCATTTCTGGTGGAGAGTAGACTGAGCTTCCCAGGCCTGTTATAGATTGTCATGCGCGCAGAAGCATAATCCATGACGTCATCATTGCTGGCTATATTAGGCACGATCAAAGCTATGTCAAGTACAGGTAAGTAAATAGAGCCTCAATCGCAGCAGACAGCGTGAGCTTATAGTCCACTGTTAGAGCAATGGGTTTCGGTTTGTCCGGGTCGGCTAATTCAAGCTAGTCTCTAAGGCCTACTCAGCCTGAAGTTAGGAACTGTCCAACCACTGACGCCAGAGACTAGAGTGGACAGTCTTGTCCATACACCCCCTTCGACATTCGATCACAAGTTGCTGTGCGACTGTTTAAATGGGTCCAAACCAAGTCCGAACGGCTTTTTATGTGGTAAGGACCTACGAACCTC